CCACTCACTGGCCCATGTTGTAGAGATCATTGCACTCTACCTGGCTGAGGCAGTCGGTCACCAGCCATCGGGTGGCCACTCATGGCAGCTCTTGCTGGCTGCCGGCCACTCACACTGGAGTTGCTGCCGGCAGCTCACAGCAGCCCACAGCAGGTAGCTCACAGCAGCACATGGCAGCTCACACTGTCCATCGGCCACTTATGGCAGCCCAGCTCCAGGTCGAGCCTTTGTTCACACTCTCTTAGCTGTAAAGGGCGCAGCTTACTGGTGCAGCTTACTGGCCCATGTGGGAATCAAGCCAGCAGCCCTGTTGTTCAGAGCTCACGCTCTTACCAACTGAGCTGTCTGGCTGCCCCAATATTTTTGAAATACGTACTTCTAAGATGCATTTCCTGTGTTTTTAACAATTATGGGATTAGACTATAGCTCTACAACCTATAAATGCTTTTCTTATTTAATAATATATCATAAGTATCTGTAATTTTTTTAACGAATGCTTGTTTTTCCAGTTTCTGAGTATAGTAATTCATTCATCCAAATACTCTGTTGATTCCAGTTATTTGCTTTTATAAAGTACTATTATAGACATCTTTGCACATTTATTTTCTAAATGTGTGTTAAATTCAAGCACAAAGTTTAGTTTGAACACACACAAAATTTAGTTTAATTCTAAAATAATTAGAAATTAAGTTTACTTTCTTAATGGTACAATTTTGTTTGACACAGGCAATTAAATGTAAACTGGCCTATATTGAACCATGCAAAAAGACAATGCAATGGCCCCAAAAGGCTAAAGAAAAATTTGAAGAAAAGACTCAAGATAAATTTATGACATGTTCAGTCATTAGTAAGTTATTTTCATTTTTATTTTTTGCTATGTGTTCATACATAGTTTTAAATGTGAATAACATTGTGATATAACATTTTCCAGATCGTATGATAAATTCATTGTGTCATCAGTAAGAGTAGTGAGAGATAACATTTATTGAAATTGGGTAAACTGGAATAATATCTTCTTTAGGCTCTAAAGTCTAAAATAAGCGTGAAGCAAAAATTACTACTAAAGATCAGGTCACCCTTAATGTGACCTCTTGAAAGCCCTAAAGCCAGAAATTAGCTTCTCTTATTTCTGTTTGCGGTTTTGAGAGGGCTCTGTGCCTGACTTTGCAATGAAAGATGCCAACATTTAATTTTCAGGCAAGTGAGAGGAGGTGGGACATAACTGGTAAATAGTTTTTGTTTGTTTGATATCATTTCATTTGACTGAAGTGAATTCAACAGTAGGCTCTCAGCATATTTTGAAGAAACCTGCTTCTTTTTTTTGGAACAATTTGGGTGTGAGACATAGGCTGACACTGGCCAACAATTTTGTGACCCAACAAGTGATGAAAATCAAAAGTTTAATGGCAAAACCTGATCTGAAACGACATGAGGATATATGTGAGGTTGGACAGTTGAGTTCGTGAACTCATCCTAGAAAAAGTGCTACATACCTCATTGCTGAATAGCACTACAGTCATCTTCCAAGTACTCCCCTTGGGAAACTGCACCAATGCCAGCACCTAGTCCACCCTTCAAAGCAATTTTAGAACTCTTTTTCTGGAATGCCCATCAGAGCTGTCGTCGTATGATCCTTTGATGTCCTGAATGTCATCAAAATGTCTTCCTTTCAATATTTCCTTTATCTTTGGGTAAAGAAAGAAGTCATTGGGGGCCAGATCAGGTGGGTAGGGAGCGTGTTCCAATACAGTTATTTGTTTACTGGCTAAAAACTCCCTCACAGACAGTGCCGTGTGAGCTGGTGCATTGTCGTTATGCAAGAGCCATGAATTGTTGGTGAAAAGTTAGGTCATCTAACTTTTTCATGCAGCCTTCTTAGCACTTCCAAATAGTAAAGTTGGTTAATTGTTCAGTTGGTACAAATTCATAATGAATAATTCCTTTGATATAAAAAAAAAGGTTAGCAGCATCATTGCAAAAAGTTCACGAACTTAATTGTCACACCTTGTGTGCACGTGTGCCTTTGTGTGTGTCTGTGTGTATTCTTTATCTCCTTTACAATGAATATTTACAGTGAGTCCTCACTTAACGTCATCGATAGGTTCTGTGACTTTAAGAGAAACGACGTGTAAGGAAACCAATTTTACTGCAGGTTAATTGATATAAACAAGAGTTAAGTTCCCATGGCATCTCATCAACGTTATAACAAAACATTATTCAGGGACACGCTGGATATTCCACTTCAGAATAGTAATGCTTCTTAATGGGATGCTGCCTCAGAACCTGCTGAAGGTTTTAGAAAATATGCAACTTTTATTAGTTTTCAGAATTCTGAAACACATCTGGTTCCAGGGGATTTGGATAGGGGGATTGGTAATCTGTTATTTATCTGGGGTTTTGATATGTTCCAAAGCTATAACCAACATTGGCTGTGTTGGTTTTAATGAGTACTAATGCAAGATACACAAGACCATGTTTATGTATGGTTGATTTGTGAGACTTTCAAGGGTAATTTTTACTTTATACACTTTTTTCACTTTATCATAGTTCCATTAAATGAACCCAACCATTATAAGACTAGCCTGTTTTACAATGAGGAAACAGAAGCTTACAGATTAACTGCTCACATAACCTAGAGATGATGACATGTCTGTGATCCTTCACTCACTTTGATATAAGAAATTTTTCTGAAGAAATAGCTCCATTGAGGAAGAATATGATTATAGAAATTGTATCCTTAGTCTATAGCATTTTTATATTTGGCTTTTCTGATATGAGCAGTAAAGTAAGGGCTGCTTAGTCCTTAAGTAACCTCCACTGATTTTTGAGCTGAGTTTAACCTAGATAATTCTGCTTCCCAACTTTTCTTTTTGTACTATATTCTGTTGGGTTTTAGCTCCTCCCTTGAATGTCCCCCTGCTGTAGACAATCCTTCAAGACCTGACTCCTTGGGTTTCTTTCTTTTCTTTTTCTTTTTTTTAAAAAAGATTTTGTTGGGGAATGGGGGAGGGGACCAGCCAAGTTGTTGTTTTTCAATCTTCGTTGTTGAAGGCGCCATTTGCCATCTGGCTGCTCGTCAGAGCTCGTGGCCTCTAAGCTCAAGGTGCTGTGTTCAATCTTAGTTGCAGGTGGGCATAGCCACGATCCCATGAGGGGGTCGAACCTGGCAGCCTTATTGTTGAGTGCACGCTCTATCCACTGAGCCATCCGGGCAGCTCAAGATGCCGAGTTCAGTTTTAGTTGCGGGTGGGCATAGCCCACCATCGAACAGGCAATCATGTTGGTACACCAGCTGAGCCATCCTGCCACCTGTTGGCAGCTCAGCGACAGCTCAGCTTGGGCACAGCGTCACTGGCCCATGTGGGAATCGAACCAGCGGCCCTGTTGCTCAGAGCTCGTGCTATTAAACCAACTTTTAACCAACTGAGCCACTTGGCCGGCCCCCTGGGTTTCTTTCTTGACTCCTTCTCTTTGTTTTTCAGTTGTTTGCTATACCAACATCTTCCAGACACTTATTACCATAGTTATTTACCCAGATAATTTGATTTAAAGAGTTCCAGAAGTCCCGCTCAACCTAAAAATAGTTTTCCCCATTAACCTGCATAATAATGAGCTTGAGTGTTTGACATTTATAATAAAGTGAACGACCACAGATGAAAATGGGAACCTCCTATTAGTATACATTGTTACTTTATAAAGCAAGGCACACTTAAATTTTAGTTAGGAGCAGAGCAGGGAGATGGTGGAGATACAGAACACAGGGAAAGTTGGCCCTGATGGAATAAAGAACTTGATGCATGGAAAGTATGAAATCAAAGAACTAAAGGGAACATAAGAGACAGAAAGTAAGGAGATCAAAGTTTATTGAGGCTCAGGGTTGCTTAGCTTTTGTTTTTAGATAATATATCTGGTCCATTGAAAAGTAGTCAGGAATTATTTTTAAGTTCTTGAAAAAAGTTTTCTAATATATATTCTTATGACTAGTTGATATAAGATGTTACTGCTAGTAACAATTTATCTTTTTATTTGGGATCATCATTCTGACTAGCAGCTATCAGAAGGTGTAGATATAAACTGATCGCAGTGCATAGAAGTGTGTGTTACCTAAAGAAATTCCTCTGTCGTTTACTCAGAGACTTATTGAACAGGTTCTCTGTGCTGTGTACCATAAGTAAGTAAATAGGCACATGAGATGTAAGCTTTACCCTCAGCTAACTCCTAGTTTAGTTTAAGAAGTAGAGCTAATAATAAACAAGCAATCAATTTGGTTTCTAAAAGACATTAAGTTAGATGGTTTGCCCTAAGTAGAGGGATGGGGAAAAATTCCAGTTAATTAAGGATTCTAGATTTAGTTTCTGTTGTTTTAAACTTTGTGCCATTCTTATAGAAACTGTAAACCTTCGCAAATAATTAGTGACGTGAATTAACTTTCATTCATTTCTTTTGTACAATAGAACTTGGTTAAATCCAATAAAATAAGGTAAAAACACAAAAGAACAATTCTTCAATGAATATATGTCAATTTGTATTTTTTTGAGTCTAAAAGAGTTAAACTTTTTTTGGTTCCTTATAGGACTGTACACAATAACCTAAAAGGAACATTTCATTAACTTGTAAATGCTGTAGATAACATTAGTAGTTGTTTTATATCTGCTAAGTCCCTAGGGAGAGACTTTGACATTAGCAAGAAACTTCATGGATGCAAAATGAAGGAAATTAAGTTCCCATTTTTTTAATTGCTTCATTTAGTATATTTTGCGACATATTTATTTCTTTCCCCAAACTAGTCTTAATGGTTTTACAGAAATTCTGGAAGATAATGTGCTCTTAATTGAGCTTTTTGATTCTCTTGGTGCTCCTGGAATGATTCCTACCAGTATTAATTACCAGCTCGTGAAAGAGGGCCTAGCATCTTATGAAGCAGGGTAAGAAGACATAAACTTTATATTTTTAGTTCATATGTAACATGTTATTCACAAGAAGAGAAACTGGCATATTGTTCCCCATTGGATATCTACTTAGGCCATAGATGGGAGTATTTCTATATTCATGGTTTGGGAAAAATAATGAAAGTCACTAGTTTAAGGGGGAGTAGAGTGGCTTTCCCTCCATCCCTAGAACCTTGAAACTTGAGAATGGCTCCTAGAAATTAAAGGTGAGTGAAGAAAAGGATACTGGCATCTTACTTCTAGGTGGAACGTCTGCTTAGGCAGTCTCTTGTACCTGTTTGACAGAAGAATTAGGAAGAGAAATGGCAGGACAGAATAAGTGGAGTGGTAGAGTAGCACACATTTCCATTTGGACAAATGTGAATTTTTCCTGGGTTCAGACAAGTTGAAGAGAGCCCTGGTTAGGTGATTCAGATGGGAGTTGGCAGCATGTAAATGATAAATGAGTCCAGGGGAATGAGTGAAATTATCATTTTGATCATTCATCTCAATCTCCCTTGGTGAAGGTGGAACTCTGAAGATTATCACTTGTAGGAAAGAAAGAAAAGTCCAAAAAAAAAGGTACATCAGGAACCTGAGATTGAGGGAAAATCAGGAACCAAAGAAAGAGAGTGTTTGCAAAGGGAAGAGTAGCTAGTGCTCAGAGTTCATGTCAATAAGGACTGAAAGCTATTCATTATATTTACAGCAAAAATTCGTCATTTTGGCTAGCTAAATCTCAAACTTATTGTGAAAGAAATCAAGTTTTTCCTGTATGGAAATAAAAACTGACATGTAATTATCTGTGGTTAGAATCTGAACTAATCTGATTTATTAAATGTTCTAAATCATTTAATAATTTTGCTCCTTAACACCCTTTATTAACAATTGTTTTCCACTTACTTACATACTCATTGGCAATCAATTATTTTTTTTTTTAATCAGGGAGAAATATTCAAGTTATCAAAAACTGAATAATTCTCCTTTGTGAGTGCAAAATATCAATGGGAAATGGTGAAATTATTAGCAAAGTTGATATTTTAAACTGTTTTTAAAATAGAAAGTTTGACTTTTAGGCTTTTCTTTTTGTGTTTGCTTACTTTGGTGGTAGTTAAGAACTCTTTTTTAAAAAAAAGTAAAGTTGCTAATGATATCAAAACTGGGAAACTGAGTCATAGCTAAAACTTATTCATCTCTAAATCTAAGCAAATGCAAACAAATGCTTCGCAAACTACTGTTTTTGCTAATGGGTTTTGTTATTTTTCAGATATACTATCAAAGATAATGCCAAAAAGCATATTGAAGTATGGGATCCTTCTCCAGAAGAAATTATTTCAAATGAAGTAAACAGCTTAAATTCTGTGTCTGCAAAATCTCTACCTAATGAGAATCTCCAATCACTTTACAATAGGGAACTGCCTGTGCATATCTGTAATGTAGTATCTCCTGAGAAGATTTATGTTCAGTGGTTATTAACAGAAAACTTACTTAATAGGTATAAGATATAAAGAAAACATATATTGTATATGGTTTTATTCTTTTTTTCTATATTTTGTTTCAAAGATCTAGAAGTTATAAATGTACAATTTTAAAAGTACCAAAATTATTTCAGCTAAGGGGTCGCTAAACACTAGTAAAACTCATACAAGTGTATCTTTATGGTTATTTTCACTATATTAGAATTTATTCATTCTACAAATACTTATTGAGCACCTATTATTTGACAGTTGTAGTTAATGGGGATGCAGTAGTAAAAACATGGACAAGTTTTTGCTGTCATGGAGCTTAAATTATAGTAGAGGGAGTGACAGTGGACAAATAAAGTATTTAGTGTATCAGATGGTGATAAAGACAGTAGAGAAAAATAAAGCAGCTGGAGAGAAAGACAATTTTAGGATGATCAAGGAAGACCTCATAGAGACAATGACACTTGAAATGGATTCTGAAGGAGGAGAGGGAGTCAGCCATAAAGATATCTGGGGGAAGTTCATCTCAGGCAGAGGGAAGAGCCAGTGTGAAAGCCCTTCAGTGGCAGAAGCTTGGGTAGTCAAGGAAGGACAAGGTTACAGTTTGGCTGGAGTAGGATGAGTAAGGGAGGCCAGTAGAAGGCATGTGGTCAGAGAATTACATGTTTGTAAAGATTTAAGAAGTTAAAATATATTTTCTTTATATAGTTTACAAGAAAACATGGTAGCTGCTTATGAAAACTCAAAATGTGAACCTGTTATATGGGAAAATGATATGCACTGTGCTGTGAAGATGCCAGATAACAATGAGTGGCGAAGAGGCCAGATTATCAGGATGGTTACAGACACACTGGTAGAGGTAAATGCAGAGTGAAAGGTATAATCATGAAAGTGAATGCATGTCATATTTTTATCCTGGAGTTAATTTAACCCAACTTTTATTCTGCTTTTCAGTTTGCAATAGAATATTTTGAAATATTGTCTTTCCATAGACTTAAAGTTATTGTTTTCATAGGTCTTGCTGTATGACGTGGGTGCTGAAGTAGTAGTGAATATTAACTGCTTAAGAGAACTTCAAGAAAACCTAAAGACAATGGGAAGATTATCTTTGGAATGCTGTCTTGTTGACATAAGGTAGTTTTTAACTGAGTAAATTTTCTTACAATTCAATGCGATTTTAAATATTTTTCTTTTTGGATAGGTTGCTGTCAGCTTTAATTTGGCTAACATATTCTGAAATGTTCATAAAACCTAGTTAATTTTAAGGTTAGAAGAGGAAAAGATAAAAATTTGGAACACATATATTTTAGTGGAACTAAGGAACTAGAGATAGGTGAGTATGTCAGGTGTCTAGATGGAATTCAGAGTGTTAAATACAAAAAAAAATAATAACTTGAGGAACAAAGGCAGAAATAAAATGTATTTCATAAGCTGAGGATTGCATGGAAAACTAAAAATGTGTCAATTACCAAAAATACTGAATTAAAGAGGATTCTACTAAAATCCTACCTTAAACCCAGAGCCACTTTGACAGCAAAAGTAAAGACTGCACAGTAAACATCTGTAATGAAAAAGGCAACAAGGCTTCCCCCCTGTGAGTCCTTAAATACAGGCAGGTGTGGCCCACATGAAACTGGTCCTATGGGGTCAGCATTTGTGTGGGAAAATGTGGTGAGAAAGTTGACTGAGCTTCTGACAGCTCTGAGGATAGGAATTGGCAACAGGGGTTCACTGGAGCAGGCAGACCAATATGAGAAGAACAACCCAGACTGAGAAGGGACTAATGCAGTAGACTATCCATAGTTGAATGCAAGAGACCTGTCATGTGCCAGTTTTGTGATGCTGATGCCTTCCTAGCCATATAACCTCTTAGCTGTCTAAGCTCTCTTTCATGACCACACTCTGAGGGGAGACTGCCGGGAATAGAGCCTGGTTTGAGCAAGCCAGACAATGGGGCAAAGCAAAGCAAAGATGCATATAAGAGCAGGGAAGGGGAACAGAATATCAAAGTATGAGGCCAACTTTTCTGTCACTTTGGGAAAACAACACAGAGTTCTAGAGCCATGAAGTGAGAAAAGCAGTGTGATCCACCCCTTCTTCTTAAGAGCACAGGAGAGTTTATGTCACTTAAAACATGTGCAAAAGAAAAGGTTACAGTTCAATTCCATGTAAATTATTATGAGAAAAAAGAATAAAGCCAAATAACATCTCTAGAGGCAATGGAAATCCACCAAAAAGACATGCTTACAAAATAATAAACTATAATATTTCAGAATGAACTAAAAATTTTGAAAATGATGGACACTGTGAAGAACATAATTAGAAAAACTCAGAAATAAGATTACAGAAAAAGGAAGATTTGAAAAGAGTGATAACAGAAAGAATTAGAAATAAAAGAAAATCCTATCAGAAATGTAGACTAAATTAGAAAAAAAACACAAAAGCAAATACACAATAAGTAATGTCTTAATAGAAAGACAAGATAGGAGGACAAATTTTGAAATTAAAAAAATAGAAATCCAAAGGATTCAAAAGATACCTAAAATAGACCAAAAAAGACCCAGCATAAACATACATGTAATATGAATTGCAAAGAAGAAAACTAAAATAAATAGAACCAAATACTAAGAACCCAATTCAAGTAATTGTTCCTATAATAAAAGCCTGTTTAAAACTGTGTATTGAAAATCAGGAATGCCAACACTGAGAGATTATCTAGTAAAATTATTGACTTATAAAAGGAATAAAATCACACTTTATGCCAGAAGGTAATGCAGCAACATTTAAAAAATACTCGAAAGAAAATGGCAAGCTATGAATTTTATGTCCAGCCCAACTGACCTTCAGGATAAAGACCATAGACAAACCGATATGACCACTCAGGGAATATTGTTTCGAGGAACCCTTCCTGAGGAATCTATAGAAGAACAAGCTTTAGATAACAAGCATGAGAGATTTTGACATAAGGACTGGTGGTGAACATTACATTTATTTTACCTAAGAACTAAGACTAAATGAACATTTTTAGGGAAACAATATGGTATTCACAGTATATATGGCACAATTTCAAAAATGGGAAGAGAAAGGAAAGTATATATGAAAAGTTGAATAAACTTATTAACTAGGAGTACTTCAAATAAGATGTTGGGGAAAAGCAAAAAGAGGTTACTAACAATACTGATTTAGTATTGGAACTATGTTATTATTTTATATAAACAAATCAGTAAGATGGTAAGGAAAATGAAATTAACTAATTGTATATAGTGGTAGCATAGCCTCTCAGAGAGCAACTTCAGTGACTTTAAAACACCATAAGTTGACTGTACATTCTTACCAGAATACATCCTAAGGACAAAAAGTAACTGCCCCCCCCCATCAGCCGTTGTTTCCATTACCCCCAAAGTGGCTTGTAGTGTTATGGAAACTACTTACTGTGTTTGTGTAGTGGGGTAAGTCAAAATAGTCATTATGTACATGTCACTAAGAACTGGTGTGGGGGATAGATGATAAAAGTGTATGTAAGGTTAGGGTTAACTTACCTTATACTCCTAATTTTGGATTAAAAGTATCACTAGAAACTCATGAGGTGTTTTAATTGTAAGAAACACATATTTTTTAACCTTGTAATATGAAGGACCCAGTAGCAATGAGCTGTGCTGGTATGCAAATTGTGGCCTCCACATGCCATTTCCCACTAAAAGAAATTTGTGCTCTTTAAAAAAAAAAAGTCTGATTACAGGTCTCGGGCAGTATGAGCCGAGAATATCTTGTCATAGCAAAAAGCAAGAAAGCTGTAAAGAATTATTGGGGGCCAGCCGAGTGGCTCAGTTGGTTAAGAGCGCAATCTCTGAGCAACAGGGTCACCGGTCCGATTCCTACATGGGCCAGTGAGCTGCGCCCAAGCTGAGCTGGTGCTGAGCTGTCAACAGGTGTCAGGATGGCTCAGCTGGTGAGAGCATGTGCTCCTAACAACAAGGTTGCCTGTTCAACTCCCACATGGGATGGTGGGCTATGCCCACCTGCATGCAACTAAAATTGAACACAGCACCTTGAGCTGACCGACAATGAGCTGCCAAGGGCTGCCGGATGGAATTGGACTTGGAGCTGAGCTAGCTGCGCCCTCCACATCTAAGATTGAAGGATGACAACTTGGGTGTTCCCCTTCCTCAATTCCCCAACAATGTTCCCCTTCCCCAATTCACCAATAAAAAAAAATTATTGGGATGATATCAAAAGAACTCAGTAGCCAACCTGAATAAAGTTCCACTGACCAAAGATGGGACAGCTCGACCACCAGTAAGATAATTGTAATGTATTAAAGCATTTGCTATGTTTAAATCTTGACGTTTATAAAGTGATTTTTAAAAATAAAACCCTCATTGCTTACTTATAGAGGATTCTAGCGAGCCACCTCATTCTGAAAACTGGTGAATAAGGGAAATGTGTTTTTGCCTTGCTTTTCCTTACAATCTGTATTTCAGGATAATCAATTAATTAGGGAATGTTGTCCTTTATAAGTATTCTGACTAACAAAGGAAGAATGATGTCATTAGAATGGCACCATTTTATAACCCTAATAAACTCAGGGATCTAGACGATGAGTGTCAGTGGCTGCTAACATCACAAAAAAGAGAATCAGACGTTGTGTCCTTCCTGAAGTGAGCACACAGCACCCTTGATGAATAGTGTGGCTGAAAAAAGGAAAATGCAAGCCTGAATCTGATCAGGACTCTAGACCTAACAATTTAAAGAACATTCAAGGGACAGGAACATGGTGAACACCATGGCAATGCAACAGCTAAATCCAATCCACAGAAACTGCAGAACACATGACTCAGTTTCTTCAACCAAAAAGTGCAAGGGAAAGTGATGGAAGGGCACTCAGAATATGTCAGCCATTTATCACATATGCACTTTGTTTCCTGTAGCAATTTATACCGTTGTGCAACATGAAAAAATGAACACTATCTGAATGGTCGTCAATATTAAGGAACTATTAAATTGTTTAGATGTCATAATGGCATGTGGTTATGTTTGTTTAAAAAGACATCTTTTGGAAATACAAACAAACTTTTTCAAATGAAATAATGTCATACCTGGGACTTACTTAAAAATAATCAGGGATGGGGCAAGTATGGGAGTACAGATGAAATAAAATTGCTCATGTATTGATAATTGTCAAGACTGCATGACAGATATGTCAGATTTATTATATTCTCTGTTTCTGAATGTGTTTGAAAATTAGCATAATTTTTTAAAGTAGAATTAACCAGATTTTAAAGAAATTATTCAGATATGCTTCAGCTATTAAGAAAACTCTATAAATAAGATGTAACTTAAAGGAATATAGGAAAACACAGTCTGTTCTGAATGGTAATTTAGGAGGGAAATGTTGTTAGGTAAAACCCAAGTGGCTCTTCACATATCTCAGTATTGACCTTCATTTTATGGTTCTCCCAGATGGAAAGGAGTCAGCATGGGTATATATCATCCTCAGGCTTCATTTTGAAAAATTAAGAAGTGGCAAATTCCTGTTTCTAGGGGATCTTCCTTCATTGACAAATCCATGGCAAAAAAGCCATAGTATATTTGTAACAAGAACTATTTCGCAAACACCTTAGTGGCATCGTGACAGTAATTTCTTTTATACCAGTCTAAATAATAAATGGACAGCCAAGACCTGCTTGAAAACTTCCAGTGCTGCGTAGCGTACTTCTCCAGGGAGTTCGTTTATCAGGCAGCTCCAGTTGCTAGTGTTGTCACATCGCACTAAACCTGGTCTCCCCATAGCTCCCACACATCCTCATCTCCCCTCAGAACAAACCTCTTGACTCTTCTAACCATCAGAGATGGAAAGGTAGATATCTTGTTCCACTAGGACTTTTTTTTCTTCCAGGCTATTACAGTTTTGTCAGAGAATCCTGAAATAATATGATTTCCAGGTTTTCCTGCTTGCCTTCTCTAAATGTTTTCTGGTTTAAGCTGGAAGAATTATTTCAGGTATAGTCTGAGCAGATCTCACTAAAACTATAAACGTGGGATTCTGTTCATTACATTTTGGTTCATGCAGCATATTCAAATTTGTATTTTGGGGAGGTGAATTGAGTTGAATTTCTTAAGTAGTTTCCATTGAACTTGCATTGAGCTTGTGAATATTAGTCAAAAGCCCAGTGGTCTGAGCTGTCACTCCATTTGACTTTGTTTTACTAAACCAACAATTGTATTCAAGTCTCAAGCACGTCTGTCTATTCATTTGTTGACTGAACCAGGATTATCATGCTCCATCTATCCGGAAGAGGAAGGTATCACCAGCTGAAACATCAGGCTTTACAGCTAAAGACCCAGCACTGGCCTGGGGGCAGGACAGGCCCTGATGTCCTTATGAGGGCTTTCCACTTAAAAGGGCTTTGTAGGAGTGGCACTTGCTCTTCTTTGATCAACTTATTAGGAAACTAGCTTTTTATACACTTAAATCACTGATTTTTTTTCACCAAAACAGAATTTTACATTTATTCCTGTCAAATTTCATCTAATAAGCTTTGAAATTCAAATGTTCCTCAACGTCTGGGCTGTCCTTCCTAATGTATTTTCTGTAAATTTGAAAGCTTTTATATAGAGGCTATACATATAATAGTTTACAGTTGGTGGGCAGAATCTAACTGACGTGAACTCTAAGTTTGGCCTCCAGAAAGTTATTTTTGTCTCCACTTTTTTTTTCTTCTTGAATTAGTTTCAGGTGTACAAAGCAACATATAGTTAGACATATACACCCCTTACAAAGTGATAATTCCCCTCCCCCAAGCGACTACCCCTCTGACAGCTTATATAACTGTTACAATACCATTGACTATCATCCTTATGCTTTACCATTTAAAATTTAATTACAGTTGACATACAATATTATTCTACTTCAACTTCAGTTGTGTAGCACAATGGTCAGGCATCTACACAGTCTATGAAGTGATCCCCTTGATAAGTCCAGTACCCATCTGGCACCCTACATAATCTTTACAACATTGTTTATTATATTCCCCATACTGTATTTCATATCCCCATGACTAACTATTGGGTTGTCGTAAAAGTCATGACACATTTTTGCAACGAAAAACATAGAAAAAATACGTCATGACTTTTTCGACAACCCAATATATTGTATCTACTAATTTGCCCTTTCTAATCCCTTCATCTTTTCTCCCTACCATCTAGCAAGCAACAGTTGTTGGTTTTTTTCTCTATCTCTGAGCCTATTTCTCAGTCTATTTCTGTTTTGTTTGCTCCTTTATTCTGTTTTTTAGATTCCACATATAAGTGAGATCATATGGTGGATAGGAAAAATTAATATAGTTAAACTATCCATACTAAGGCAAGACATATAAATTCAATGCAGTCCCTATCAAATTACCAATGATTTTTCACAGAACTAGAACAAATAATCCTAAAATTTATATGGAACCATAAAAGACCCCGAATAGCCACAGCAGTCTTGAGAAATAAGAACGAAGTGGGAGATACCATGCGACCTGACATCAAATCATACTGCAAGGCTATAGTAATCAAAATAGCATGGTATTGGTATAAAAACAGACACATAGATTAATGGAACAGAATAGAGAGCCCAGAAATAAAACCATGCCTATATGGTCATTCAATCTATGACAATGAAAGCAAGAATTTACATTGGAATAAAGACAGTCTATTTAATAAATGGTGCTGGGAAAACTGGACCACCTTCTTATGCCATATACAAGAATAAATTCAAAATGGATTTAAGACTTAAATGTAAGACCTGAAAACATAAAACTACTAGAAAAAAATATAGGAAGTAAATTTGCAAACATTACCCTTAGTAATATGTTTACCAGTATATCTCCTTGGGCAAGGGAAGCAAAAGAAAAAATATACATGTGGGACTACATCAAACTAAAAAGTTTTTCACAGCAAAGGAAACCATCAATAAAACAAAAAGGCATCCTATCGAGTGGGAGAAGATATTTGCCAATGATATATCTGATAAAGGGTTAATATCCAAAATTTATAAAAAACTTATACAACTCGATACTGAAAAAACAACCCTATTGAAAAACGGGCAGAGGACATGAAGAGACATTTCTCTAAAGAGGACATACAGCTAGCCAACAGGCATATGAAAAAATGTTCAACCTCGCTAATCATTAGAGAAATGGAAATCAAAACCACAGTGAGATACCACCTCCTATCAGAATGGCTATCATCAATAAATCAACAAACAAGTGTTGGCCAGGATATGGAGAAAACAGAACCCTCATGCACTGTTTGTGGGATTGCAGATTGGTGCAGCTACTATGGAAAACTATGGAAGTACCTCAAAAAATGGAAAATGGAACTACCTTATGACCCCGAATTTCCACTCCTGGGTATCTATCCAAAGAAAGAACATTTAATTTGAAAATATGCATGCGCTCATATGCTCATTGCAGCGCTATTCACAATATCCAAGATAAGGAAACAACCGAAGTGCCCAATGATAGACAATTGAATAAAGAAGCGGTGGTACATTTATACAATGGATTATTACTTGGCCATAAAAAAGAATGAAATCTTACCATTTGCAACGAAATGGATGGACCTTGAGAATATTATGCTAAGTGAAATAAGTCAGACTCCAGAAAGTTTTTAGATTTTTCAACTTCTATTAAAAAACCAGTGGTGCCACATAAATATTTGAATTTCTAGCTTCTGTTGACAAAAAAAAAATCAGAATATTCGCTGAAGTAACAATGTTGCCAAAAACGAATTGGTCTTCCCTCCAGAGGTTCAAGTCATTAACTTGTTAAATAAGTCATAGCTACTATTACCTGGGGAGTAAGGGATGTAAGTTTACATGTGGGAAGCAGCTCTATCATTAATGAAAGCCTGTGAGAGGATAATTTCCTGGTGCTTTGATGTGCCACCCACAGTTCTCCAAATCATTCAAGAAGCTTGTAGTTTGGGATTGTTTCAGATTTGCTCCCTGATTTGAAGCAAATCCATTTAGCTGATTGCTTTTATTTGGCTAAAAGATAGATACACTTACATGTGTACATTTTTCAGACATGAGTACAAATAGGAATATCTGTTAAAAAATAAAGCTAGAAGATTCTAAAGACCCTTTCAACATTATAAAAATTTTAATGAATCATTAAAATTACAGATTTATCCAGCCTGTTTTTAATCTTACTCACAGGACCTCATCATTAGAGGGATGAACAAAAGGCTATGAAAATATGAAAATGGGAGAAAATTATGAAAATAACAGTCATGTTTAAATTGATTTCTCACTACATATGTAGTTGGTTCAAATATATGTGTATATGGTGGTTATTTTATATTTCTATATCCTGTGCTGTTGGTTATAAAACAAGTTGTCCCCTTTTTTTTTTTTTAGACCAACTGGTGGGAGTGACAAGTGGACAGCGACAGCTTGTGACTGTCTTTCGTTGTACCTAACTGGAGCTGTAGCAACTATAATCTTACAGGTGTGTGATGGGGTTATAATAGATATGTACTGATTATTTCATTGATGTTTTCTACAGTTCCATTTATTTTCTTGTTGAGAAAATAATGGCAAACTATTTGGATTTTTTTTTTTTACAACCCTTTTTGGTCTTATTCTAAGTTACAACAACTGTTTGATAATACTGTAGATGTGCTGTAAATGATCGTATCAATTAAAACATTTCTAAAGTAATATTTTTGTATTGATAATTTGCATGTTATATTTATGTATGCTAGAGTACATTTCTTCATATTTACAAACTAGAAAGCTATTTGGGCTTCTAATGAAATATTAACTATGTCATAAAAAGTGTTTGAGTATGAATTTGAGAAGAGGATATATATAGGATATATCTTTTCAGAACATCTAAAAATATTCTTTGCCTCCTTTACTTTTACTTTTTCTAATTTGATACATTTTCTCACATTAAAGATTAGGATTTTCTTATATAAGTAATTTTTCCATGTTAATTTTTTCTTTGTATGTGTACTTTCTCCATTTTTGTAATTCCACATGAAGCAGAATATATGTTTTGTAGTTCTTTCTTTTGCTTGTTTATAGGCGGAAAAAGGCACACCTGTGAAAATAGATTTCAATCTATAATGTGCAGAGTTTAGAAGAATAGAGAAATTTGTAACTAATGGTGTACCCCATGCCCACCCCCTGTCCTATTCTGGGGTTAAAAAAAAAAAGTTTTTCACTTGACTTCTCCCCCCCCCGACACACACACAAGTTTCACCTTTACAGTGAGACTTTCCTGCTGCATTTGACAAGACACTGTCCCCATTGACTCTCTTCCAGGCTGTTTTCTTTGTGATATGTTCACATATCAAAATTACTTGGCTGGGAACTTTTTTCTGACTTGGAGAAATGTGGAAGAAATGCTGGTGAGACTTGTGTATAAGATTTCATTTTTGCGTCTCATACTTACTCTACTCTGAAACCACTGCAGGAAAACACCACAACATGGCCACTACCTGTGAAAATTTTCTGCAGAGATGAAAAAGGAGAGCGCGTTGATGTCTCTAAATATTTGATTAAAAAGGGTTTGGCTTTGAGAGAAAGGAGGTATGGACTTCCCCCCCCCCCACATCAGTTTATAAGGAGGCTTCTTATTTATCTGTGTAAATCTTCATGTCTGTGTGCCTTCAAACCTGAATTGCATCTTGTTTGATGTTAAAAATGATTTATAAAAAAGCCCGAGGAATTATTTTATTCCTGAAGAAATATATTGTGTATTGGAAGGATTGTTATGTACAAATTCTTCAGGATTGCTAATTTCTTTATTCAGACCCATCATCTTTTGCATATTTAAAGCTCTACTGACATGTTTGCTTTTTTACTTTTCCCTTTGCTTTGGCATTCACAGTAAACCAAAGAAAAGGGGAATGGTATAGTGGGTACCAGATCTGTGCCCTCTGGCTTCATTTGCTTAGACAGAAATGTTTAACCTTTATGTTGGCAACTCACGTAGGTGTACTCCAAAATGTTTATATGAAAAAAAAATGGGTAACAAAAGACGTAATTGAACAATATTTGCATTTAAAGACCCTTCTGGGTCCTACAGGGTTCAAATGCCTTTGGTCCAAGGGTTGCAGCATCAGGACATTGTGCTAGCCCTAGCTTCCTGGTTCTCTCTGTCCTAGACATAGAGGTCTGTGGGTATTGCAAACACGTGTTCCAAGTAGCCACCTGGTACCACACATGGCCAGATCTCTTTTTTTATCTTACATTATTATAGCTTATCTTATCTGGACCCAGATCCCAGTCCTGATGAAATGGACAAGGAATGAGACACCTGAATTAGAGTAGGTCCTGAGGTGGTAGGCCAGGCCTGGTGGGTGCTGACCTAATTGCCAGGCACTGGCCTATGGCTGCAGTCTGCATCTTTAGTCCTGTGTCTCTTCGGGTTCACTGGCTGTAGACTAGAGCAATTCCTTAATAAAAGAAATGTGCAAGTGAAAAATGCTATGCAAGTTAGTATTACTGATAACACCTGCCACTGGTTATGCTCTTCACTGCTTGGACGGCACCAAAACCAGCAGCTGGCTTGAGGCTGGGGCCTGAGCAAGCGGTGGGAGGTGAGGAATTATGGAGCTATTTCAGCAGCGCTAGTTTCCTTTTCAAAGAAAATACAGGAAAGTAGAAGAAACAAATATCTATAATTCTGCTAAAATAGTGCTAGTTTCCTTCTGGTGATCCATCCTGCCACCTGTTGGCAGCTCAGTGGCAGCTCAGCTTGGGCCAGGACTCGAACCACTGTTGCTCAGAGCTCTCACTCTTGAGCGAGCTCTTAACCAACTGAGCCACTCAGCCGGCCCTTAGGCATACTTTTTTTAACTGGAAGGGAATAACAGGAGGTAAAAAAAATTATGAGTGAATATAGCATATTACCAGTAACATTTCATATCTGAACAGTACCTTATTTTTTAGGGGATTCATAGTATCATTATGTTATTTTATGAATGTTGATAACTTGCCACATGTATGTGGTCTGTCTGTGGATTAAATTAGAATCAACTTGAAGGTGTGTTGTGTTTCTCAGTAACATCTGGTTGATTGTCTAATACTTGAGATAGTCTTATCAGATTTTAAGAGAGAATAGCATGTAAATATGAGATTGTAATTTAAAGCATTTAAGTGAAATTAATTTTTTTAATCAAGCTCATAATTTAAAATAATTTTCATTATAACTTAAATTATGCTCATTTTCATGTAACAAATTAGACTAGAATGTCCTAGACTAGAGCAAATATTTTCTTTAAATTTCAAGTGTATTGGAAGGATTGTTTTATATTGTTTTCTCCAGAATTTTTTATTTGCTCATTTAGATGTATTCTTTTTTGGGTATTACAGAATTAATAAATTATATAACAGCCATTCATTTTCTGAGAAGTTTCAAGAAATCCCCCTGGAACAAGAAGATTCAGTGGTTACTAAATGTACTAAAATTAATTTTAGCCCTGACAAAAAAGCTGCTGATATTACCAGTGAGCACCGGGTGTCTGAATTTAAGGAGAAAGTTCTAGAACCAAGAACCACTGGATGCTATAAACCACCAGTTATTCCTAACATGAAAGAATTTGAGGCAATAGTCAGCTGTGTTGGTGATGATGGAACTGTATTTGTGGTACCTAAATTAGCAGGTAAGATCCTTTACAGTCATTATAAATAGTAGCTACCAGCTTATTCTCTAGTAAGATAGACATGGGAAAAAATACTTTGGACAAGTATTTAACCTCTTTGGACCTCATTTTCACTGGGTTGTTGTGAAGGTTGAATGAAATAATGTATGTGGTGCTTTTCACAATGCCTAGCACATGAAAACCATTTACTGAAACATTGGGAATAGACATTGGGCCGAAGATAAGCATGGGGGTGGTTCCAGGTTCCAGATATCTTGAGGTGGTAGTTCTGTTATATTAGGAACTTATACAAGTTTGGAGGCTGTTTAGGAAAAAAGAATACAGAAGTTTATATTCGTTTAGAATGAGAAAAGATCACAACAAATGACTAGAGATTTGAAAATCTCTGAAGATTTGAAAATATTCAGATCTTTCCTGAGATCTATGTACAAATTCTATGTACAAATTAGGCCTATATACAAATTCTTCCTGCACATGGGTGTGTCTTGAGCACTCTGTAACTCTGAGCAAGTCTCCGCTCACAGGACTTAAGCTCCCTTAGCTCCCTAGTGAGTCCACCTATGGGGTAAGGGCATGGTGACTATGACTATATCGAAATGTTTGTCTCATTTATTGATCTCCTAAATAATAATTTTTAATTTGAAAAACCGAATAAATCTGTGTAGTTGGCTATTATAGAAGTGAACAGTGTTTGAGAACTCTAGCACTAGTACTTAATCCAGAAGCTTTGCTTGACATGTATAAAAAGTCATGGCTAAAGCTGACAGCTAGTGCTAGGCAGTGTGCTAACTGCTTTACATCTGATCCTCACAAGCCTGACAATGCGGGCCACAGGCAGTGTTATACCCAGTTTACAGAATGAACTGAGGCTGATGGGGGTAAAGGAACTACCCAAGATCACTCATCTGAAGTGATAGAACTGTTATGGGCACTGACTCCAGAGCTTGTCTTCTGTGGTATCAGTAATGGGCCGGTTAGCATAAGTAGCAACGTTAGAATTTTAGTTTTATATGCCAGCATTATGCTATGTCTAAGCATCAAGTAACACATAACTTGAGTTCTGTTTTACTTAGGTGTGCTATCAAAATGACCTTATCTTAAAGTGGTAGTTCTCTTATATTAGGCTCTCTCGTATGTGTTTTTAATGATTCCTGCACTCCCAGAAGAATGCTCACACTTATAACCAGAGATCAGAATAATTATTTACATGCTGTTAGGCAGTTGTATGTTTTGAAACATATAGAAGCTACTGACTGAATTAGATTTTATTAAAGCTCTATTATGTGGGGACTGATTTGTAATTCTTTATAATATTATCTAAGTGATAAAATTATTAAAGGTTGGTGATTTCATTTGAAAATGGGAATTTTTTCTAAATATTTTCTATTCATAACTTTCAGAATTTGAGCTAATAAAAATGATGAATGAAATTCAAAGTAATTTAAAATGCCTTGGTCTTTTGGAGCCTTATTTCTGGAAAAAGGGAGAGGCTTGTGCAGTAAGAGGATCAGACACCCTGTGGTACAGAGGCGAGGTAATGGAGCTCGGCGGTGGCACCATCAGGGTGAGTCGCATACTCTTCGGTGACCGTTCTTTAGTTTAAGGCTAACTGCTATAACATTAAGTGGTCTTCTGAATCTAAATACATGAAAGTTTGATTAAAATATCTTTTTTTTTTTTTTTAGCTGAGCCTTCCTGCCACCTGTTGGCAGCTCAGCTCGGGCCGGGAATCAAACAGCTGTTGCTGAGAGCTCGCACTCTTGAGCGAGCTCTTAACCAACTGAGCCACTTGGCTGGCCCTAAAATGTCTTTTAATAAGTTCAATCCTGTAGGAAGACCAGTCAGATGCATTACACATTTATTTGTAATAATTATTTTTGGTTTTATTTTCAAGTGTATTTATTAATCAGCATAACCAAAAATTATTTCCAGGTAAAGATTTGGCCTCTGGTACTTTAATGGTACATCCAGTTAATTTGCCTCTCCAGAATACTGAAGATAGTACTTGAGTTTTATGCAAAATCTTCAGAGAGAGCTGCATACTTTGAAAAGAATGTGCATATAAAAATACACATTAAAAGACCGCCATTTATAATATATTTATTAAGTAAAGCAATGAAATCATGAGATATTCAGCACTTAGAATTTTTAGTTTTTGGTGGGAAGGAAAAATTAAGGAAATAATCTTTTCTTTCTATTTGCACAGGGGTTTATTTTCTATTTAATGATACCTAACAATTAGAGTAGCACTTCTGGTTTTTAAGCTTTCACAAACATGCATTCATGTTTTTAAAATATGTTTCTATCAGAGATGTAGATAATTATTTCCATTTTACTAATAAGAAAATTTAACTTTAGCATCTGATTCCTAAATTTCTGATCTAAGTTTTGTGCTTTTTCTACTGGACTACAAGCTTTAAATGGTTTTAATAGAAATATAATTATTTCAAATTCTGGGTGAGTATTTAAGCATATGGATACTTACAGATTTATGTGTTTATATGCAAATGAGCCATTTCACATACATATGAATTGTTTAGATAACCCCTTTTTAATACAAAAATGAACTGGAATTCACTTTCATTCAGTTATCATAATTCATGAACTTTGCATATATGGATTCCAAATTAAATGGTGGTGAACTTTATTTTCTGTCACACTGTAATATCTGTTTTTAAAAATTTATTTAAAAGTATTTTGATATTTTAATCATTTTTTTTCCCTGTGGTCATTTGACATTTCAGGTATACGCAATAAATTTTTCATTCCTTAGCCTGATACTTTCCAAGTTTATCCTATGATCCACAAAGAAATGAACATTACGTGAAACTGTATTCACCCTAACTACATGTAGTATACTTATGTTTTTCATTCAGTTTTATTTAATTAAAAAAAATTTCAGGCCAGCTGAGTGGCTCAGTTGGTTAAGAGCACAAGCTCTGAGCAACAGGATCGCCCGTTTGAGTCCCACATGGGCCAGTGAGCTGCGCCCAAGCTAAGCTGGCACTGAGCTGTCAACAGATGGCAGGATGGCTCAGCTGGTGAGAGCGCGTGCTCCTAACAACAAGGTTGCTGGTTCGATTCCCACATGGGATGGTGAGCTACGCCCACCCACAACTAAAATCAAACATGGCGCTTTGAGCTTAGTGGCCTTGAGCTGCCAATGGGCGGCCGGTGGTGACTGGACTTAGAGCTGAGCTACCTGCACCCTCCACAACTAAGATTGAAGGACAACAACTTGGCTGTTCCCCTTCCCCAATTCCTCAATAAAATATTTTAAATATTTATTAGTTTCAGGTGTACAACATAGTTATTAGACCTTTATATACTTAAAAAGTGATCACCACCAATAGACCTAGTACCCACCTGACACCATACATAGTTATTACAATATTATTGACTATATTCCCTGTGCTGTACTTCTACATCTCCGTGATCTATTTCATTTTTTAAAAATGCTGACTGCCAAGACCACCCAAGAAGCAAGCATTGCATACAGTTTCCCAAACTGTGGAACTGTTTGAGAAATACTGAGAATTTGAGAAATGTTTCTTTACCAAATGTAAATCAGTACTTCTAAAATACTTGAAAAAACAAAATTTAAAAATCATCCTAAAAAATTGATTATTTTCAAAGAATTTGTAAATCTAATAAGACCCAGTTTATTTAAAAAACAGAAAAACTCTGGTTTATGTGTAAGAAAACCTTTTGACAATGACGTTTGATATACAATGGGATGAGGGAATACAGTGTTGCTTTTTTCTGGAGATTTTTCAAATCCAGATTTAGATATCTTTATAAGATGTCTTTTTTTTTTAAGACCTGGAATTCCCTTCTATCCCCTAGTTTTTAATAGTAAAATTTACCTGTAAGTTGTATTTGTTCTGTTTCAGGTACAATACTTAGATCATGGATTCACTGAGAAAATTCCACAGTGTCATCTCTACCCTATTTTGCTATATCCTGATACACCCCAATTTTGTATTCCTTGTGAGCTCTATAATACCGTACCTGTGAGTAAACAGTAATTTGTAAGATGATTAATTTTAAATATTTTTTATTAATTTCTAGAAATTAGAATGTAAAATGAAATCCCTCTGAGTTGCAACAAAAATAATACAATACTTAGAAATAAGTTGAATATGACTGTTAAATTAAACTACAGAATTATACTTAAGGATGTAAAAACGTGAATAACTGAGGCATAATATCTTCATAGATGGGAAGGCGTAAGATTGTTAAAAATTAAGTTATTCCTTTATCAAATAAAATCAACAGATTTGAAGCTGGAAATCAGATAAAGGGGTGGTATATTAATTCTTTGTTGCTGCATAACAAATAAGCTAAAACTTAGTGATCTAAATTAACAGTCAACTTTTTAAAAATCTCATACAGTTTGTGTAGCTCAGGGATTAGGAGCAGCTCAACTGGGTGGTTTGGGCTCAGGGCTCCTCGTGGCGATGCAGTCACGACGGGCTGAGGCTCCTCGTTGGCTGTTGGCAGAAGGCTCCAGTTCTTGCCCTGTGAACCTCTTAACACGTGAAACAACCATCACTGCTCCTCAATAAATACACATTGTAGGCATTTTATAATACACAGTGTACAAGTACTACGTTGGCACATTGGCCATGTTAAAAAACTGTTAGGAGGCTTTGTTTTTCATGTAGATTTATATTTTTAAAGCTTAAAATGCTTTAAGAGAGGGCAGTGGGGGGGAAGCTCAGGGAAATGATTAGTTTCTTAAGATCATTTTTATCATACACCCATGATGTTCTCTGAAAAGTACTTGTATATTTTGTACTGCTCTCTAATGTTATCTATTTATGACCACTTTGCTTCCTGCTCTTACTTTGTGAACGTGTGAAAGAATCTGAGTTTATTAATCCCAAACAGGTTGGGAATGTCTGGCAAGCAGATGCCGTGGAACTCCTTCAGGAGCTGCTTTCGAAGAGAGACGTGGAAATTCACGTCATGGTAATCGTACTTAAAGCATGTCATTGATTTAAGTTATTTGTCATAAAGTATTACAGCTAACACAATTTAGAAGATATTTTTTTATGATGAGCAGTGTTCCTGTGTGAATGTAAATTACTCATTAATATAAAAAAGAAGTTACCACTTGGTTTCCTAGGTTTATTTTAAGTAAACCTGATTGTGAACAAGTTCCTGAGAACTTGCATAAGCATTAAAGTCCATAATTTGCAAGATTCTTTATTAACAGCTTATTTTGATAACAGGGAGCAGTATCAAAGAATGAGAGGTATTTAAAAGTACACGTAGTAGCTTCCAGGGCATTAAGTGCAGGTTAGCCCGTCCCTGGAGACCTTCTCTGGTCAGTGGGGCACACTGACACCCCACATAAACCTGAGAGTGCTGCACTGCCAGGCCTCCTGCTGGGAGCCAGGTGGCTGGGACAACTGGTCAGTGCAGTAGGAACTTAGAGACGGCGAGAACTGAGGGAACCTTAAAGAAAAGACAGGCAAGTTCTCCCGACCAGGAGGCACAGAGACAGAAATGAGCATGGCATACATTTAGGAAATAGTGCAACTTTTCAGCTAGAACATTAGAGGTTTTGTGAGAAGAAGTGGTGAATAGGACTTAGAGAAGTAGAGGTCAGTCAGTGGAGCCCCACTGGAAGTTTCTGAGCATGAGGTAAGATCAAGCTGCAGCTGTGCTTGAGGATTCGAGTAGAATGACACAAAAGTTGTAAGGAAAGTCTTTCTGTATGAAAGATGTGATCATAGGGTGATAAAGATTTAAAAGGAGCCACAGATGCACTTAGAAAGTAGAGAAGCTTTAATGTTGCTGGTGTAAGTACCCAGAGTTCCCTCTGGTTACTCACAGCCCCTGTAGAAGGTCACAGGTAAGGCAGACATTAAAATGTTTTAGTTAATCAAGGTAGCTTTTTTTGCTGCAAAGCTTATCATAGGAGAACAATTTGTAGTACAGTAAGTCCTCACTTAACATCATTGTTAGGTTCTGTGACTTTAAGCTAAATGGCATATAACAAAACCAAACAGAAGTTAATTAAGTTCCTAGGCACCTTATCAAAGTTTTAACTAAAGGAGGACCTGCTGTGTACCAGAGGCTGCTCAGTGTCTCAGAAAGGAGAACCCACATGGCCTGCAGCCCTTACTGCCCAACCGGACCTTCCCTAAACCTGCTCGTGTGACCTCACATACGGATAACAGATACTGAGCAAGTGTTCGTACCTGCTGGGCTGTCCTAGCTGGGAGGTACAGCAGTGAACCGAATACTTAAAAATTCCTGCCATTGTGGAGCTTCCATTTTAGTGGTGGGAAACAAAATTAACAACATAAAATATAAGATATATTAGATAGTGGTAAGTGCTAGGAAGAAAAATAAAGTAGGAAGAATGATGGGGCAGGTGAGGAGATAACATTTTAAATGTAGTGTCAGGGAAGACATCACTGCAAAGGTGATTTAGGTAAAGACTTTAAAATGGTGAGAGGACAAACCATGCAGATACCAGGAGAGGAGTGCAAAGGGCTGAGGCAGGAGCGTGCCTAGAATGGTCAAGGAACAGCAAAGGAGCAAGACAGAGGTGGACATGGGAGGGGTCCTGTGAGAGCTGTGGCTGTCAAGCTGACCTGGGGGGCCATTTGAGCGTGTGCGCACAGGAGTGACATGATCTGACTTTATGTTTTAGGATTTTTACTCTGCGCTGACAAAAACTGGATAATAGAAGAAGGTAGAAGCAGGAAGATCTGCTGGAAGGCAGTTATAATATAACTCAGCAGAGACCGGAGTTTGGGCAAAGGGGGTAGAAAGGGAGCTGATGAGAAACGACCAGCTGGCCAATGTGCACGACCAGTACCAAATCATGGGTGTAGACGGGGGCTAAGCCGTGTCCTGACTCCTTCTGCACTGTCTTCCTCAGTCTCTGCTGATTCCTGTCATTCTTGACATTCCAACTAAACTTCATTGTTTTACCCCTGAACATATCTTTTCTTCTCTTTCTACCTAGATACATTATTAGTATCATCTAAAGATGAGGTATAAATTAGTTTCTAGTAAATAATTATAAAACTCTCTATCTTATTGGCACATAAATATATTTTACATAAACCAGAGTAACAGAATTAGTGCCTCATAACTGGCCATAATACCAGGAAGAAAATATTATGAAATGAGTCATTAGTCAAATTGGTAATACTAGGATTTTCAGAAAACCTATTTTCATTTTTGCTGACTATAAAATTTTAATCTTCAAACTTTATTTTTATAGTAATAATCTTCTTTGTTGAACTTAAATAGAAATTACCTGAAAATCCATGGGGGAAATTATCTGTTCATCTCTACTTTGATGGAATGTCACTTTCCTATTTTATGGCACACCATAAATACTGTACTTTTGAACATTCTGAGGAGATATTGAAAGAAGTAAGTGAACTCTTTTTCTATAAAAATGTAAATTACAGAAAAAACAAATTCTGCTTAAAATGTCCTATTTTGTCTTACACCTCAACTCTTCAATATGCTTCTACATGTATGATATGTTAAGGGAGACTAGAGAGATTATAAATTCTGTATTGAGAAAGCAATACTTTATATGAGTCCTAAAAAAGTCTTTAATTGCATTACGATTCAGTTGTTTCTGTACCTTCAAACCTGGTGAGAAGCCCTTGGTACCCAGTGTTGTTCGAATGTAGAGATGTAAGAAATAAAATCTTAATAGAATGCACTGCCAGAAAAGGACTCTCGCCCCAGATAAAATGTTCTTTGCTTCTATTTGATATTATAACATGTCCCTCATTTTGCCTTCTTACAGGAAACTCAGAGCCAGATTTTAAGCTTAACTTCAATAGCCCAGTCTTCAATCAGTTGCCTGGTGCTTCTGTTTTTAATATTTTTAAAAAACATAATTAGCCTGTTATATATATATATATATATATATATTTATGGTTTTACATTGCAATCTGTCAGAAGTACTTTATAGAAATAGGGTATGCATCATAAATAACATTTTATATGGCAAGATATTTTCATTTCTAGACTTAGTTCACTTGTTAGGTTTTTTAATACTCATTTTAGTAGTAGTCCAAAACAAAACATTGAGTGTTCAGCTTAATATAGAAAACTACTTTCTTCTTTCAAATAGAAACAGTGATATTACTTTGTACATGTCATCCTCACTGCCAGCTTTTTCTTTTAAGAAGACGGGCGTGCGCTTGTGCCTGTGTGCTTGTGTAAAAGGTGTTCCGTCTATTAAATGGGTTTTATAAAGATTAGTCTCTCTTCCAGTTGTGCTTCTCAGTGTTAACATTTAAAAGGGGAGGTGAAAGCTCCCACTCTCTTCTAATAAACTAATTACAATTGACATGTGTTTAACATAATTTCGAGGATTTTTACTGTTGCAGTATTAAGATATTAAGATTACTCAGAACATTAGATTTTCCCATAGGTAACCTAAAATGACTAAATGAATGCCAATAAGGACACATACCCAGTTTTTGTGGAGATGAAGTATGAAAGTGCCTTAAGACAATATTATATAGTTTAACGATGTTTTTGTTCATTGAGAATACTGTATTTCAGAAACCAACAGATTACAGTAACAAGTATGAGGAGGAAAGATGGGAAATAAGGTTTGAGGTAAGTTTCAATTCAAGTATTTTAGAAACTTTGGACACTTCATCAGTACAAAGATCTGATACAAAATCAGGAAGGAAGCGTTTTCTTTTATAACAGCTTTATTGAAATATAATTTAAATACCATAAAGTTTAACTTTTTAAAGAGTACAATTCAGTGTTTTTTAGTATATTCACATTGTTGTGCAATCCTCATGACTAATTCCAGCTTGCGTCAGCCCAGAAAAAACCACTTACCAACATCACTCACTTCCTCTTCTCTCTGCCCGTTTCCGGGAGACCACTAACCTGTATCTATGGACTTGTCCATTCAGGACATTTCACGTAAGTGGGCTCATACAGTACACAGCCCTTTGTGAATGGCCTCTTTCACTCAGCGTAGTGTTTTCAACGTTCAATCACATTGTAGTATGTGTCTTTTGTATTGATATTTCAGTGTATGGATAGACCATTTTGTTTGCCTATTCAGCTATTGATGGACACTTGGGTAACTTTCACCTTTTTGCGGTTGTGAGTAGAACTACTGTGGACATTCATGTTCACTTTTTTTGGTGGACATCTGTTTTCACTTCTCTTGGGTATGGACTTCGGAGTGGAATTACTGAGTCATACGGTGACTCTGTTACCATAGTAAGGGACATTGTTTTCCAAAGGGGCCTCACCATTTTACTTTTGTACTAGGAGTGTACAAGGATTTCATTTTTTCCATATCCATACCAACAGTTGTTACCTGAATTTTTTCCTAGACATCCTAGGATAGGTGTAAAGTGTGATATCTCATTGTGGTTTTGATTTGCATTTACCTGATGACTGATGATGGTGAGTGTCTTTTCATGTGTTCGTTGGCTGTTTGTATATTTTCTTTGGAGAAATCTCTGTTCAAATCCTCCACTTAGGGTTTGACACCAAAAGGAAAGGCAACAAAAACAAAATTGAACAAGTGGGATTACATCAACCTACAAAGCTCCTGCACAGCAAAGGAAACCATCAACAAAATGAAAAGGCAGCCTACTGAATGGGAGAAAATATCCACAAATCATATATCTGATAAGGGTCTAATATCCAAAATACATAAAGAACTTACACAACTCAATAGCAAAAAAACTCAATAACAAAAATGGGCAGAGGAACTGAGTAGACATTTTTCAAATAAGACATACAAATGGCCAGTAGGTATGTGGAAAGGTGCTCAACATCAGTAATCATCAGGGAAATGCAAATCAAAACCACCATGAGATATCCTCTCACACATGTTAGAATGGAGTCATCAAAAAGGGAAGAGGTAAAGTGTTGGCAACGATATGGAGAAAAGGGAACCCTTGTGCACTGTTGGTAGGAAGGTAAATTGGTGCAGCCACTATGGAAAACAGTATGGGGGTTCCTCAAAAAATTAAAAATAGGGGCCGGCCAAGTGGCGCGATGGTTAAGAGCTGGCTTGGGACGCCAGAGGGCCCTGGTTCAGATCCCACATATGAGGGCCAGTGACACTGCCCTCCACAGCTAA